TGCCCGTATCACAGCTAATTACGTGGCTCCAGGTGGGAGCCGGCAGATACACTGCCTCGAGGTGTCCCGTGGATACGACTATCGCTGACGTTGTCTACGAAAGGTTAGATCTGGAACGACTAATTAAGAGTCGGGGGAGCTGATGGTTGTAACGAAAGAGTCTGTCTTGGATTCAGGGTACACCGCTCATAGAGGCTTGATGAAATATAGCTTCGGGCATCTATGGGGGATGTAACTCGTACGGCCAACAGGCCCTTTTGTAAGGCCCCCTAGTGGCTTAATAAACCAGGACTGTGGAGCAGCGTCATCCGCCTCGGAGAACATCGCTATGCTTTTCTACGTGCGTCATTTCCCTTCTGTCGACAAGGATGCTGGTGCTTCGCGGTCGTGAACTCGTGAATATACCGTGGCGCAACAATTAGAGAGAGAGCTTAAGAAAGAGCACCCAAGAAAGCACAATGAATAAGCATGGCGTTAGTTAAACGTAATTTACGTGAGAAAAACATGAAGGCACAAAAAAATCAGACGTAGAGTGCCCTAATTAGTTAAGCCGAAGGCTATCAGTCGCGATGCGTCGGCGCTGCTCGAGACCCCCGCCCCTCTCTCTTGCTATTCATATACCGGCGAAGTGCGAATGTGTGTGTACTATTGTACGGAAGTAAAGTCTCTCTCTCGAACTATGGAGAAATGCGGCTGTCACATATGTATATGGATATTCCATACTGAACCGACGGAACTGGCCGTGTTCTCTCACTCTCTTTATCGCTGTCATAATCATCCTCCTCCGAATTCGAATTAATCCCTTTTATGTGCTGTTCGGGGGTAAAATATTCACTTCAATTAATTTTATTTGGTAAAGAGAAACCCTGCGCTTATTTCTTCTTACTCGATTGTTGAGCAATCATTTTAATTTTCTAGGTTCCCTTGCTTTTTTAAAGGGTGCCCGATTATCTGTTAAGTTTGTTGGATTTGTTTCTCTGTAAACACCCACCAAGAGTGTAGGTGGTCGCACTAAAAGTCTGCTCGCTCTGGAGACCTGCTATCAGAAACCTTTGAAGGTTCGGATTAATCGTGAACGATCGTGTCTACTCTCTCCCCAATTTCGGCCTGTTGTCTTCTCTCTTGTGTTTTCGCTCTCCCGTCTACGTGGCATTGGTACGGGTGACCCTCTTGTTTAACCCGTAGCCCTTGACCCAGACAGATACACTGGACTTTCTACTCTTTTTAAATTCGATCCATCACTGCACAACAGTCCCCTGGATATTAACTCAATCGTGGTACTTGAATGCGTTGTCTATGCAGTACTAGACCCCAATTATTCATCGGTGTCCGCTGATACGTCTTCCTCGTATTAAGGTATCAACTCATTGCCTGGCTCTATCTCCAACATCAACACTCGAAGAAACCTGTCTTTCTGGACGTCTTCGGTCCCCTTGAGAGTAAATCCCCTCAAAAACAATTTACTCACTAACGCCTCTGATGGCATTGTCATGATGCTGCGTTTAAGTGCTCGTAGCTCCAACATATTTACAAGCGCCGGCATTAATGCTTCGTGAGACGCCATTTTGCTACCTGCGCTAAAACACGAGAAAAACGACAAAATGTTAAATCCTTAAAGGTCTACTTGACTGGTATGCTCGCTTTTAAACTGATCGCGACATGTCAATTTTCACCTCGAAAAAACTATTCAGACTTTTAGATGAGGATTTGACCAAACATTTTACTAGGATACATCCAAAAGCACTCATCTTTTGGCTAGTGTGCACTTGATTTTTTGACTACTCATTTTTTTGTCAAAACGTCCAAGCTTAAAGTGTGAGTCAAAACAGATGATAATTCCTATTACTTCACCTCAAGTTTTTATCGTTTCTGTATAATCATTTATCCTTGTGTACGTGCAATGTAAGTTTTATGAAAAAGTACGTATATTACAAGTACACTTTTATAATCATCGGTGATATTTGTTAAAGACGATTATTTAGTTGTTACTATTAAATTTATTACGGCAAACTGAAATTTTTTGTGTATTTGTAGTTAAAACAATACAACGTACTGTAGTCAGTAACTTGAGGGTAGTGTTTAAGTCTGCCTAATTTAGTATACTATATGCCACTCGTTTGTGTTAGAGTCGTTTTTCTTAGAAACTGTCAAGTACTTGTGCCCGATAAATAATGTAAATTTGTACAGTCCAGTATCCCGGTGCATTTGTGCCTATGGTAATAAAATGAATTTTTCACCCTATAAGAATGTATTATTTTATAAAAGTTTATGGTACTTATTGTCTAGTATTTTTACTCGTACCTTATTCAGTACAAACACATATTTAATCTCCACGCTCGATTTTTTTTAACAAACATAAAAAAAAGTTGTTACTTGAAAAAAAAAATTGATCTTCTAAGGTACTTACAAAAAACAAAGTCAACAATACTAAATGGCATAATTTTTCTTGTCGCAAAATTTTCAAAGTTTAACAAGCATTATACTTTTGTTTCTTCATACAGGAAGCATTGAGTTTATTTCGATTGTTGAAAATTGGTTTCAAAAATATTTAAATCCAATTTGTTACATATATTAGTTGTATGAAGTATTGTTTAGTTATATTGCCCTTTTTAAATCATCTAATCCCGTTTTTTTGTACAGTTTTTATTTGGATAGTAGGAAGATTCTTTAGAAATATTTCATACATAAATGATGTATTATTATATCTTCATTGAGGGCCCGTTGACAGATTGAAATAATTAAGGGCTTCAAATGTTCTTTCTTTCTAATTTATAGTGACCAGTATGCATAAGGAACCTTAATTGATAATTTATAGCCAGTAACTTTTGCTAACGCTTCTTAAATGTAGATAAAATATAATAAACTAACGCAACTTCTATAATCATAAATATATTTTTATAAGAATTTTAAAACGGTACACGGAGAGATCTCTGGTACTACCGTTGCTTCTGCCTTATACTACAGTTGCAACGCTGATATACTGAATTGGTATATTACCCCGCTTACCAACTTTGCTCGGGAGCCATACCAAATCGGTATTGGCCCCAAGCAAATGTGCACACACACACACACACACACATACACATAAGTGTATATATATATATGTATATGTACGTCGTTTGATGCGGCGGCGGCGGCAGCGCTGCACTATACATATATATCTATAACCTCGTGTTTGCCGCTCGTTGGGATGTGTGTATATATACATGCAGTAAACAATATAATATTTTCTCGAGCTTCATACAGTATAGCATACTACTATACACCGGATGGGATCTAATAAACGCATATATATGCGCTGCTGAAAATAATGTATACAATAGGTAATTTTATCCGAAATGAAATAGTAATTAACTACACATACATCGTTTTCAACAGCTCTACGCGTTCTAAAATAGCCCTCAATAGTATATTGCAAAAATAAGGTTCATGNCCTAATACATAACGAGTCCTTTTTTGCGAAACAGAGGCTATCAACATAAACCTTATTTTTGCAATATACTATTGAGGGCTAGTTAAGAACGCGAAGAGCTGTTGAAAACGATGTATGTGTAGTTTATTACTATTTCATTTCAGATAAAATTACCTATTGTATACATTATTTTCAGCTGCGCATATATATGCGTTTATTAGATCCCATCCGGTGTATAGTAGTATGCTATACTGTATGAAGCTCGAGAAAATATTATATTGTTTATTGCATATATAAATATATATATACATCCCAACGAGCGGCAAACACGAGGTTATAGATATGTATGTATAGTGCAGCGCCGCCGCCGCCGCCGCATCAAACGACGTACATATACATATATATACACTTATGTGTGTGTGTGTGTGTGTGTGTGTGTGTGTGTGTGTGTGTGTGTGTGTGTGTGTGGGTATGTGTGTGTGCACATTTGCTTGGGGTCAATACCGATTTGGTATGGCTCCCGAGCAAAGTTGGTAAGCGGGGTAATATACCAATTCAGTGTGTGTGTGTGTGTGTGTGCACATTTGCTTGGGGTCAATACCGATTTGGTATGGCTCCCGAGCAAAGTTGGTAAGCGGGGTAATATACCAATTCAGTATATCAGCGTTGCAACTGTAGTATAAGGCAGAAGCAACGGTAGTATAGTTCACGCACTACAGTTGCACGGAGGCCTGTATACTACGGAAGCAGAAGCCATATACTTTCGTTGTGGCGCGCGGGCGCTACAGTCGTATATGACGCACTGTACTACTGTTGCACGCGGCTATACATACTACCGTAGTACCAGAGATCTCTCCGTGTAGCTATGAAGAAAAAAACCCTGCAGATGAGATTTAAAGGTGTGGCCACCAAAAACAAACATTTAACCCACTCGGCTACTATTTTCTATATTAGGGGAGGTATAAATGAAATATAAAAGCTGTAAAGAAAGCTTGGATCAACCGTAGAAATTTTACATGATGAGGGAACACAGGAGTAGGGGAACTGCGTTAAAGACTCCTTCGACCTGTATTCTGGTTGCGCTAGCCTATAGCTTACGAATCTCGATAGTACTGAACTCTTCTTTAAGGAGATTATCGTTCCATCTGGAATCACTCATTGTAATGTTTCCTCCAGTAGTACATTGTTTAAGGACCCGACTGTGTAAACCTCTGACACTAAGAATCAAATTCGTTTCACATTAAAAAAATTACAAATTTTTTTTCAATCAAAACTTTTGGTTGTTATAACTAAAACTTTAATATTTAGTCTTGTATTGATTGTCCAAAATGTTATACACTGAAGTTGTAGCATTACAACTGCAATTAAGATCTGCAGTAAATGTTGTGAATCCAAAAATAAGTTATATTACCAAATACATATTTGTTTTGCCACGTTCTATATTTTAGCAAGTTATTCCCTTGAAAGATTAGACTTATAAAAAAATTATGACCCAGAAGTTTAATTTAAGTTTCTTCATATAGATCAAAATATAATATAAACAAATTTTCCTTTAATTATCACATAATTAGTTATTATTATCTTGCAGGTCGGATTTAGCAATTGTTCATTTTTCTGCTCCATGGGCTAGACAGTGCACGCAAATAAATAATGTTCTAGAGCAAATGATAAAATCAGCCGATTTCAAGAATGTTAAGTTTGCCAATGTTGTGGCCGAAGATTTTCCAGAAATTTCAATTGAATGGGACATCAGAGCAGTTCCAACAACTTTATTCTTTAAACACACCGAAATTGTTGCAAGAATAGATGGTGTCAATCCTACAAAAGTTCTTGAGCTAATAAATAAGCAGTTATTAAGAGATCAAAACGGATCATTTAAATCAGAAAATTCTGAAGAAAAAATTAAAAAATTAGTTAATCAAGCTCCCTGTGTGCTTTTTATAAAAGGTACTAAAATTTCTCCACGTTGTGGATTTTCAAAGTCGATGATAGCACTGGTGGAAGAGCATAAAATAAAATATGAAATATTTAATGTATTAGAAGACGATGAGGTCAGAGAAAGCCTTAAAAAGTTCAGCGATTGGCCAACATTTCCACAGTTTTATGTTAATGGTAAGTTCATCGGAGGTTTAGACATTGTAAAAGAATTAAGCAAAACAGGAGAGCTAGATCGTATGATACAAACAACTTACCAAAATTTAGAGCACAGATTAAAAGAGTTGATAAATCAAGCTCCTTGCATGCTATTTATGAAAGGAAACAGAAATACTCCTCGATGTGGATTTTCTAAAACGATTGTATCTTTGTTAGATGAATATAATATTGACTACCATACATTTGATATTCTAGAAGATAATGAAGTAAGAGAGGGATTAAAAAAATTTAGTGACTGGCCAACATACCCACAGTTATATATTAATGGTGAATTTATTGGTGGATTAGACATTGTTAAAGAGATGAGCAAAACTGGAGCCTTGCATAATATAATGTCAAGAAAACAGATGTAGCTGGTTTTGATGGTGATAATCTATTAACTGGTTTCATTTGAAAACGAGAAAAGTAAGGCAGATTAGTACACAAAAAAATTTTTCTTGTATTGAGTGCGACTTGCAATAAAAATGCCCATTTTTAAATTTATAACTCTTATTTATAAGCTTCTTTACTTTTAGCTTAACATCCTTAAAGATGTAGACGTAAAAGAATCTTAAAAATCATTATTCAAGCATACAAAAGATTATTTTTTAGTTCAACTGTTTTATCCCATATTGTTTTCATTGTTATCTCGCAGTTACAAACAATGTTGTTTTTAAAAACAAATAATTAAAAATACTTTC